AATTGTCTATGCCATGCTACAATGTGGGATTCAGAAAAAGATGTTGAAATGTCTGAAAGGTCGGACACAGGCGAGAGCGTATCGGGAGACGGAGACCAACAAGACCTCCCTCATCCTTGGCCCTATCTCACAGAATTTATAGAAATAGTCAAAAAATTGAGATTTCCATTCATGTAGTGGTATCTGGCTGTTTTTATTAAAAGGTTACTTTATATTTTTATACTTTTAGTTTTTGGAGCACATAGTTTTTCACTTTTCCTTGAGTAAAGAGGTCAAGGTAATACAACTTTTAAACTGCAGTATCTATACTTCTACTGAAGTAACAAATGTATATATATGTATATTTGTGTGTGTAAAAACATAAACAAAAAACACGGTAAAAATCTTTTCCGTCGACAGGCTGCAGCCACGTCCCATATTCCTCGTTTTCAGCCACTTTTGTTGAAATTTGCATTTTCCTATTCTCTAGCTTTTTCTCCACCGCGAACATACGACTTCACGATAAATCAGAAGTAATTCCTTGCAAATACATCGCTATATAATATATCTGACGAAATTTTTTTTATAAACGCCTTTGTTTTTTTTAAATAAAGCATTTTAAATGCCACAATTATCACATTTAATTAATTTTCATTCCAATAAGGGATACATTTAAAATAAGGTAATGAATTAATCGATTTTAATGACCCAGTGAAACCTGTGAGAGAAGGCTGGGATTTCCTTCCATTTTCTTTTTATATCTTTGAAATATAATTTTAATTATAATTAGCTGGGAAAATATCGTAATATATAGTGATATTGAAATATCACTACATCTATCGTATCGCAACACCCATGCCAATACTGCCCCCTACTGGTTAATAATAAACTCAGGGTCAGTTGTTTTTCTAACTATTGTTCTCTGGTTAATATCACTCTTTACCTTTTTTATTAACATCACAGACTATAATATAAGGATTAAAAGAACGTCTGATTTGTGCTCCTATTGTCTGAGCTAAGAGTCGACACCCAACGCTGGAATATTGGTTTGACATCTGAAAAATATCAACAGATGATTTTAAGTTTCCTACCTTCTTGTTTTGATGCTCCCTTTTGGACTAGAAGGAGTGGAGCTAATGGTTATACTGGTCTGTCAGATGAACACAAAGGCCTCTGGCAATGCATTGTGGGAGAGCAGCGAGGCCACTGACACAGCTGAGGAGAGAGAGCAGAGAACAAAGGTAAAATATTAGATTATATAAAGTCATTCTTGTCCAGAAGGGGGGGTGGGGTAGATTCTGGTGAAGATTCCCAGTCATCCAGGTCATAGTCATAGGACAGCGTTGACCCGGGAAGGTCGAGTCCTCCTCCTCCTTCATGTCCTCTAGTTGGAGAAGGTCGGCGTTAGGATCGCCCTCAGTTTCATAGATGCCTGCATCGAGTTTCCCGCCGTCCATAAGACCCTTAAACAGGGGAGGCATGGACTCCTCCATCATGTCCGCCCCACTCTTAGAAGCTCGCGGCTGATGGTTTTTAGCAGCCGCAGCAATGGCTGAAGGTGAGGAGAGGCGTGGGTCTGGCTGTTAGCGACAGCCACCCTCAGCCGCCTTTCCAGGGCGCAGTGCTGGCATCCCTGAGGGTCCACCAGTGAAGCCTTTAGCGCCCATACATGCAATGCACATTGGACGAGGGTCCCGCCCCGAGATAGATGACGGCGGGCGGGATACAACCTCTTTAGCTTACAGTTCCGAACCTTTGGCAGGGGTAGGAGCCGCAGCAATGACAATAGACAAACACAGAGCTCGTTGTTTCACGTTAGCTTTTAACCGATGTTAAGTCCGTCCGCCACATCAAGTTAACCAGACTCTTATCCTAACGCTAGCCAAAAACCTAGCCCACCTTTACGTGTTAGCTCGGCTGACACGGACGCTCTCTATTCCGTTATTTAAAACTGAGTCGATCCAGGATCAGCTCGCCTTTACGCGCTCACCGCTCCCAACGTTTGTGTTCCTGAAACTGCTTCCTTTGAAGTGCTTACCCAGCGCGGTACAGGCCTGTCCTGGTCCTGCGTTCAGCGACGTTTTCCTTTACGGCGTGCCTAAGAACCGTTAAACAGGTCCAAGCTAGCCTGAGCGCGCTGAGGGAGCCTAGCTGTGATGTTGGTTGGTGGGTGGAGCCACAGACACGGCTCAACCCGTCTGTCGAGGTTATCAACCAACCAGGGAGAGTTGGGTCATCAGGGAGTAAGCCAACATTTGATGTGTTGCTTCTCCATTCCATTCAAAGGGGGCTCTCCCTGTCTTTGCCCAGGGCCCCACATTTCCTAAATCCGCCCCTGCCAGTAACTATGACCATCTTATTATAATCGATTAAATCCCAGTTTAAAAATATTTATTCATCTCACATCTTTGCATCATCAGTCGTTTGAAATGTTAACGGTCGCTTCCTTTTGCAAAGAAAAGCAACATTTAGAAACGCGACAGTTTCGCACCGAAAGTAAAATCAAATTCTATCCTATCATCACTCGTCACAACAAATAAAAATAAAATAAAAACCTGTCGAAGACACAGAGGGCCGGTTTTTAATCCATTACCGTTATATCAGGTGTAATAGATCGCTTCTCTTTGCAGCTTTGTTGCTGTTTTGGCGCAGACAACAGCGGAACCTCCGCGCGAATAAAACCTGAATAATGCCGATAAAAACCATCAGGTGAATATCTCTAAAATAACCTTATTGTCTCTTTCCTCCTAAGCTTCTCTCACCTAGAGTCGCAGATGTATCAAAGCAGAAATGCGGAGGTTTTGAGTCGTAGTCTCGGACAGCAGTGGAGCTGAGCGGCAGCCATTATGGTGCTCTCTAACCGGAAAAGCAGCTAGCTCGTGCGTTGCAGGTTTGTTGGTCTCGCAAAACATCGCGAGAGAAAAAAAAAGAAAAAGAGAATGGCTGGCAGTGTTCGAATTCATGGGCGGTATGAGCTCTGTCTCCTAGCAACAGTAACAGTTGACACACAAAGCAGGAAGTTAATGAATTTCAAAGCTTTTTCTTTAAAAAAAAAAAAAATATATTATTTAATGTAAAGTGAACAAAGGCTGATGAGAATCCAGAGTGGAATAAAGGTTTCAACCACCGGGAGCAGGAATGGTAAATGATAAATGTCCTGTACATATATAGCGCCTTTATTCAAGTCAGGAGACTAGACCAATGCTTTACACCACATTCAGTCTTTCACCCATTCATTCACACACTTACGGTGGTGAGCTACATTGTAGCCACAGCTGCCCTGGGGCTCACTGACAGAAGCGGGGCTGCCGTACACTGGCGCCACCGGGCC